ATTTTGGGAACTACTGATGGTGTACCAGAAAAGGGTTTAAACTATGATTTGCAAAAGTTAAACTCTTTTACGAATTTATGAGATTACTGGACTATGATTTGTACCTATTGTGATTTTATGGAAATGTTGGGACACACTGAGCCTAGCTCACCTTTCGAAAATGTTTTCCCCTTTCAGATACCGTTGGTTAGATACATCGGTTCGAGCACTTGGAGGATCAACATATCTCTTGAAGTATATCTGATTGTAATGTTTTTACCTTGCAAGTTGACTTTATTTTGTTGACATGGACCTTATTTTAAAGTATGGGATTTTAATATGATGACACTTTTGCTATTACTATTCGGTTTATCGTGATTTGATTTTTAAGATATGTTTTAAATTAATTTATTACCTATTGATATTATATTTACAAGTTGGGTTTTGATAGTATGATTTATTATAATTTCATGTCATTTATAATGTGATTTTACATTGATTTAATAACGGTTTCGGAAAAATTTCTTTAAGAATCATAATGTGATCCACTAGACTTAGTCGAAACGCATAGGCAGGGTCTAGGGGGTTACAGCTGCATTTTTGGAACAAATGCCGAAAAAGATCGATATCTATAACGGCGTTTTTGGGGAAAACGCCACAAAAGATAAGATCTATAGCGGCGTTTTTGGAAACAAACGCTGCAAAAGGTCAGATTTATAGCGGCTTTTTTTGATACAAACACTGCAAAAGGGCTCATGATAGGAAAAAACTATTTATAGAAAGAGAATCATTATAAATAACTAATATGAAATAATAATAATAATAATAATAATAATAATAATAATAATAATCTCTAAGGATAAGAAAAAAATAAAATAGCTATTAGGTTACCTCTTTAGTTGTCAAAATATTTGCACCCTTAATATCCCGATGGATGACACCTTGTTCATGTAGGTAAACCAAGCCTTCCAAAACCTGTTTAACAAGTAGTTATCATATCCATATGATACTTGAATAGGGAAATGAAGCAGAAAATTGCAGAAATACAAACCTGGGAAATATAAACAGCCACCAATGATTCTGGAAAAGGCCAAATTTATTGGGTTTGATAATGTTAGCAAGAGAACCATTCTCCACATACCTATTAAAATGTGAAACAATAACTATAAGTTTCTAATATCTCAGAGAGCATGCAATCGCAACGTAAGGTTTATATTTCTTACTCAAGAATTATATGCAGATGAGATTTTGTCTTCGAATTATATGCAGATGAGAATAAATGACGAGAAAAAGATTTCAAGGGAGAGAAATTAAGGTAAAGGTTTCATCGATACCTGCACATGTGACATCAGAGAACTAAGTAGCACCTTATTCCCCACAACGCACCTAATGTTGTATCCAAAACCAGCATACAGGAATTAGCACGTAAAGATAATATAGCTGCCTTTTAGCTTAAAGCAGGCACTCACTCGAGCACTTCTTTGTCTGCATCCCTGGCATTGTATTTTGCGTAACTTAGGCCAGTATAATCCCACACCTATAAAAGGTTATAACGAATCTGTTAGCATTTTTTTATTGAATAAATTCTGGGTGCCATTTAAAATCAACGATGAGGAAATAAGACTTGGTTCTTATTTCAACTAAGACAAGGAATAAGAGCAATGAAAAGGGCATGAGAAAAAGACATTATCAGCAAAAGAGAAATTATTACAGCCAGCACCTGCATCTTATCAAAGTAAGCATGTCGATGCTGCTCAACAAATCGACAAGCACCAATATCTGCAATATAAGCTATCACTGTCACCAAGGGAAGAACAAATGTGACAAACACACACGGTACATAATAACTAATCAAGGGAAAATATCAACTAGTCAAAGCAACACTTAAATTATCTATTCGGCCAACATTTTCCTTTCTTGCATGCTTATCTTGATGGAAGGTCTAAAAGTAATAGTAATAGTCCTACAATAATTAACTTTAACAAACCATGTCTAACATCATAATCTTATAGCTGTTTCTAAAACACAAGCGATATTTAACCTTTCTATTTTAAATTACATTTTCAATATTTTTAAGATGCTAGCACATAACTATTTCTTGAGCTTCCCAAATGGTCACAGAAACATAAGGACTAAAGTTGTCTAATTCAGTATGTTTGTTACCCTGGGATCAGGGTGGTCATCTTTCTTAATCAAGTGCTTTCCCCCCAAAGCTGGATTGCTATCGAGGATGACAACATTCAAGTGTTTTGTTAATGGTTACTAGCTGCAAATTAACATAGCATAGAAACAAATATTTCAACATCACACAATTTTATCATCAGCAACAAGAACATGCTCTGTAAGATTACAATAAGTTGTAATTATACATATTTATAAGTGTCATTAGCATCCATGTGCATTCAATCATGATCATAGTGCCTTTTGTTGAATGCCTACACCTTTTTAAATGATGGACTGTGTGTACATCTCAAAATTAATTTCATAAAATAAGAAGAAAATGATTTCGTATAATCGATCCAGCTACCTAAGGAACAGGCGAAAGCCAGGCCAACCATACCACCTCCAACAATTGCAATGTCATATTGTTGAGCTTCACTCCCTAAAAAGAACAAAACTACAACAATCAAAAGAACAATCAGCCGCATTCGAATTCAAAATACCAGTAAAATGTGAAATAAACCAAAAACCTTACCAAACGAATCCTATTACAGGGTTTCCAGCATTTGAAGTAGATATTACAGGGGCAGCGTCATTAGAAAATGGCCTCCAGGGCATTCTCAATCTATAAACGTTTGAGCCAGATTTTGCTGCAAGAATCCTATTATTAAAGCCAATAGTCCATCATTAAAAGCCAAATAAGCACAAAAAAAGATCTTAATTCACCTACAGAGAATATACTAAGAAAGGAATTCGCACCTGCTCATTGTTGGAATGCCGCTACAAACTTGTTGAGCTCCTTTATCCTTTGCAAAGATACTTGTTTAATCGCAAAGTGAAACAGCGAAGCAACGAAGCAGATGGGCAAAGCAGCAAAGCAACAGATTTAAAGAAAGGAATTTGCGAGATCGACGAAGCAGCCAAAGAAGGACTGAGATCGGCAGAAATTAATTTGAGGGTTTGGGGTAAACGACAGAAAGGAAGTAAAGGAAAACCAGAAAGAAAAGAAGATGAAAAACGCAAATGGATTAAGGTAAACGGTGGGATTAAAAAATGGGTGAAGGGAAAAAAAATGAAAAAGGGTTAAAGGGGGTGAGACTTAAATATTGTGTACTTGTGGCGTTTGATGTATGAGTTTATAGCGGCGTTTGTATATAAATACCACTAAAGTATAAGTGTATAGCGACGTTTGTATAAAAAAGTAACTAAAGTACAAGTCTATAGCGGAGTTTGTATAAAAATGCCACTAAAGTATGAGTCTTTAGCGGCGTTTGTATATAAACGCCACTAAAGTACTACTCTGTTGTGGCGTTTTTTGAAAAAACGCCACTATGGATGAACCTATTGTGTCATTTGTATAAAAACGCAGTTAAAGTTATCATTTTGTGGCGTTTGGTATGTAAACGTCGCTATATGTTTAAAATTAGTGGCGTTTACTCCCAAAAGGCCGCTTAAAACGCCGCTGTAGAACAATTTTGCTGTAGTGAAAAACTAAACGTTATGTATAATTTTAAAAAAATTAAAAATTAAATATTAAAACATACAAAAAATTGATAGTTTAAATATTACACTTGTAATTTATCCTAAAATTAAATCCGAATGAAACAAAGTGAGGGCCAAGGCCTCTCCTAACACAACGTATTATGTACTCCCATCTCATAAATTTTGATAGATTTTAAAAATACTTATATATTTTTTTATAAATTTGGGTGAATATTAAATAATGTATTTCAAAGATAATTTTTTGACAATTAATGTTTACGTCTTTAACATTAACGCTATTCAAATTTAAAATTTAAAGAGATAATAATAAATCTTTTAACCATTAAAATCGTTTAATAAGTTAAAAAATAAATATTTTTACTTGGTGCCCGGTCCAACATGGAGGAGGAACGAGTTCAAGATTGATTGAAGTCAAATCCAAACAAGGGACAGTAAGAACGTAGGAGCTTGACCATCTCCACTATCATCATCACGTGTCCAACATTAGTGGTGCTTGCTGCAATTTCGACTATTCCCAAATCTCATGCCACACCACACCATCATATTACAAAGACATCTTGTAAAATTAAAAGCTATCTACAAACATATTCTTTAATTGCAATTACAAAGTAATATATTGTAGGTATTGTACACGTTTGTTAAGAGCAGCTTGCAACTAACATTTCACTAAAGATTTCTGTAGTTGGGCGCTTCCACATTCATTGTCTACATTAATAATTACAGTTAATTAATTCCCAACTTCAACTTCCCTAGTATTGGCTTCTAATTTGTAAAAGAGAAAAAAAAAATACACGACTTCTATTTAGTTCTGTAAATGAATAGAACAATTGATGGATTCTTTGTATAATGTTTGTTCATTAAGGTAAATAAACAAATACAAATAACTTTTTTATGTTCATTTAATAAACGAATGAACAATAACAAATGAGTGCTCAGTTTGCTTATTTTTAGAAATAAGCTTATTCATCGGTTCGTTTATTCAACTTCACTTTTTGATTTTTTTTTTTACATTTTAAATATTGATGGAGATATAAACTAAATTGAATATATGGTGAATTTTGAAGTTCAAATTGTAAAATCTAAAGAGTTAAAGGATTAGTGACATAATTTGACCATTTCTGAAAAAACGAACATGTTCACGGGCGATTAATAAACGGACATGAACACCTTCAAAAGCAAATAAATGAATATGAACACAATATTAAAAATTTAAACGAATACGAACAGAACATAAACATCTTACAAAATTAACGGACAAACACCAACGTAACTTTATCGTTGAAGCTCAATTCATAAAGTGTATGCGAAAGTATGGCATCACATAATTTGTTGGCTGATTGAGTTCCGGGTAGGTAGGGTGTGGTAGTAGTCTAATAGGGTACTCTCTCACGGTTACCAAAATGCAGGCTTTGAATGCCCCTCAGAGCAGACTCCAAATTCTTTACATTTGAGGTGTTCCTACCAAAAGATGGTCGCTTCTTCTCCGATAGAACAGGCGAGTTTCTTTGTCCACTATAGATTTTCCGGAATGACCTTGCACTTGCATCGACAGCACCAAGGCGACGGCGTTCAAAGTCACCACCAACTGTGATTGCAGCTGCATCATGATTGCAAGAGATAACAGCTCGCCTTGAAGGTAAGAAATTAGAATCACCCAACTTATGATCTTTAGCAACAGGACCATCATTTGCTATTGGCTTGGAAATCTGAGATTGCTGATACTTTAATATCGTCCAATCAAACACGTAATCAAACTCAAAACCTTTACGAACAAATAGTTCACGGAACAGGCATTTCAGGTAACAATAATCCGGTTTATCATCAAACCGCAGGGATCGGCAGTAATGGAAGTAGGTTGCAAATTCAGATGGATATCCTCGACACAAAGCCTCAATAGAAGTTGACACTTTCTTTTCACTTATCTTCTCATACATTTCCTTCTTAGTTCCACCTCCCAGTCCTTGCCATGGAAGACTTCCCCTTAAGAAATACATTAGAACATATCCAAGTGACTCCAAATCATCCCTTCGACTTTGCACAATCCCAAGGTGAGTAGCCATGCTTGCGTATCTTGCAGTACCAGTAAGATTTTTGTTTTCTCTGTAAGGAATATGTTGATGGGTTGAAAAATCTCTGTACTTGTTAGCCAGCCCAAAATCAATCATGTAGACCTGATTTGCACGATCACCTAAACCCATGAGGAAATTGTCTGGCTTGATATCCCGATGCAGTAATGATTTTGAATGAGCATATTCGACTCGATTGATCATCTGATCCGCAAGCATGAGAACAGTTTTGAGCGATAGTTTTCGATTGCAGAAGTTGAATAAATCTTCAAGACTAGGCCCCAATAAATCCATGACGACGACATTATAGTCACCTTCAACGCCGGACCATCTCACGTTTGGAATCCCAGTTCCTCCCTGCAGTATTTTATACAAGTTGGATTCATACAACAATTGCGGATGATTGGTCTTCTTAACATTTTCGAGCTTGACTGCAAAATGTTCATTGGTTTGAATATGAGTACCGAGATAGATCTCTCCAAACGATCCGCTACCGATCTTTCGACTGAGTCGATACTTGGTCCCAACTCGTGGATCCATAACAGAAGTAAAGATGAATGAGAAGGAAAAACTTAGTTTCAAACCCCTTTAACAAGGCAGTGACGGTGGAGTCGAGAGAGAGCTGAGATGATGTGAAGAGTATCAGGAATGTGTTGTTGGACAGTGGGGACGTGAAAGGAATAAATAAGAAAACTCTCTCCAACTTCGACTCTAACTCCAACTCCAAAAACAAATAATATACGAGTGAAAGGAGGACAACTTCTAAAATATTTTCAATTAAAAATAGAATAAATTACGTACTTAACTTTTTAACTATTCGTGTTATTTTATTTTAATCATTCAATTATTTTTTTTAAATTATATCTAATGTTAAAAATTTAGGTTACCTATGATTTTGAAAAAAAAATAGTTAGAATACTCTTAGGTATCATTTGATATTTAATTATTTTTTCAAAATCATATCTAAAGTTTAAAATTAATTTACTTTGTGACAAAATTGAGCAAAGTGTTCACGCTATAATGACCTGTGTGGAAGCCAAAATATAGGCTATGCTTTATGTTAAATTAAGTCCTCGTCACTTAGTCGAGTTTCAAATACAATGGGCATGTTATAGAGTTTATTATATTTTCAATCTTCGATGAGACAAAAATGTTGTATATACAATGGGCATGTATTACCGATGATTAGAAGGGGCTTGTGTATCCATTTGTTATTAAAATACCATTGGACTAAACTATAATAAACTTGATGAACTTTGTTCGATAGACTTTGATATATGTGATTTACATGTCTTATAAAGCATGATCTTTGATATTGTATACCCACTAATACTATCTTTGTTGTGTGAATTTATGATATATTTTTATTTAAACCTTACTTAGTATGTTTTCATCCATTAGTTTTGTTTGTCAAGATTATTTCACTAAGCTATACAAGTTTATTTCATTTTCTTTTATTGTTTTATCAGAACATCGATATATGTAAAGTATTTAGGATTACATTTTGATAGTTACAAGTTAATTTCAATCCATTTTTAGTGTATTATTTTATTGTTTTTATTGGAACTCATCACCTCGAGGTGACGAGTCCCTTTTAATTATTCCCTATCAAAGTTTTTTTATGGTTGATTTTATGTTTAATATTATATTTAAATAAGAAAGTCGTAATACTGATATATGGAGAGAAAAACAACGAATCATGAGAAATGAACATTAAGAAGTAATATTACAACACAATTAATACACTACCTTAAGGACATAAATAAGACAAATCTTACACATACACTAAACAGTAAATCAAATCATAAATTCATAAACATTTGTTGCATTATTCGTTATGATGTTCTACTTTTCATAATCAGTAGACTCGTCAGAAGTAATATTAAGTTATTCAATTCTCCATGCTTTTTCTTGTTGTCATTCACGTACCAATTGGAACCATGATTATGACTCTTCATCATCTATGTTTGTTAATTTGTCATTTGTCTGAGTTGTTGGGATGTTCGAGCTGGAAGCAACATCCCCAACCATACGAGCAAGAACGAGATCATCGAACTTTACAAACAAATTGACATTAGACAAAAAATTGTTGAAATATGTCTCAATCATACCAGCAAGGTTGATATCATCTCTTAGATGAAACCTCGTGCATGATGTTGGAATTCTATAATATAAAAAAGATATTCTTCTATTGCTTCCTAGTTGAACCATTCTTTGTATATTGAACTTCAGATCATCTAGTTGAATATTTTTTTTTGAAACACATGGTTAAAGATTTGCAATCATAAAAAATAGTTGCACGAATAGTTGTCATTTTTGCAAAAAACTCAAGATTTGGAAGTGAAAAACCGAGGTTGTTCTAGACTGTAAAAATAGGATTCACCTGACACGTATTTATAGGCAAAAAAGTTTGTGAACTGAAAATTGTATGGCATGGTGCATTATATTAGATAGATGTTGAAATGCATATTGTACATGATATGAAGTGATATATCAATACTAAAAATTTTTCATAAATGAGTTGACCTTTCATTGAAAAGTTGTTGAAGATGATTGATGGTGCACTGAAAAGTTACTGGCATTTTCTGTCATCCTGCGTTATTAATGACCCATTCTGAAGAGTATTAATGACCCGTTTTGACATTTTCGGGCATGGTGCATTATTAGAGATGATATTTCACTGAAAAGTTGAGGAAAATGATTAACAAGGCACTGAAAATGTGTTGGCATCTTGCATTATTAATGGCCCGTTCTGAAGAGTATTAATGGTTCATTTTGACATTTTTCGGGCATGGTGCATTATTAGAGATGACATTTCACTGAAAAGTTACTGAAGATGATTGATGGGGCAATGAAAAGTTACTGGCATCCTATATTATTAAATGGCCCGTTTTGACATTTTTGGGCATTGTGCATTATTAGAGATGACATTTCACTGAAAAATTATTGAAGATGATTGATGGGGCACTGAAAAGTTTCTATCATTTTATGGTATCCTACATTATTAATGACCTGTTCTGAAGAGTATTAACGGTTCGTTTTGATATTTTCGGGCATGGTGCTTATTAAATCAACTTACTTCATATTTATCTTCAGCAAAAACCTTTCTAAAAAAAATCTTTCTGAAGATATGGCGAACAAAATTTTCACTTTTATTCACTCAAATGGCCAAGTGACTGAAAACGATCTTGGTGTTGTGTTTATGTCACATAAGACTTTAAACATGATGTTTCCTATCGATGTATCACATTGACAAATGAAGAAAAAATTTAGAGCAAACTTAGAGCTTCTATCTTATGTTTGAGTTATCGACACCTAATTTTAAAGAATTCGGTTAAATATGGAGCAATCCAGCTTGACAACGATGACGATGTAGCTGTTATGGTTGGCCTGCATCAATCTTCAAATAATCAACTGGTTAAGTTATACGCTGAAACTGCATGTTTTCTTACATTCTCAACTGTTGCACCTTAAGAAGTAGGACCATCAATAGATCTAGATGACCTTGTCGGGTGATTCAGTGAAACCCTTGGTGATTTTAGCGAGGATGATGAAACTTCTGTTCCACTGATGCTAGACGATGACACACCAATAATTGATGCTTCTGATATCGTCGAGTCTACTTCAAAGGGCCAAGGTTTTGATATAAAGGGTGATGTCTAGGAGACGGCATTTGCTCATTGTCATACACACTCAAATCCTCAGCGAGGTTGGGTACATTCAGCAACACCCAGTCAACCTGAGTGTTGCAACCCCAAATACCTCACTATCATCATATAATCGCAATATATGATATAATCTATGATGCCATGAAGTATCCTGAGATTCCTTATATGTCGGGGATATTGCACAACCCACGGGGGTATATTGAAAAAAAGATCAACAAAGTTGGCAGTTGGGTCGCAGTTTGAAACTAAGAAGGATGCCCAACTAGTAGTTAAGGAGTTTTATCTAAAAGCTCATATGGAATTCACTATTGTTGAGTCTGATCATAAGACATACCTTATTAGGTGTATAAACAACAATGTCAGATATAAGTCAAGGATACATGTATCATACCTACAACAAAATATGTTGTGAGAACTCACAAGGTTCCACAACCAATACAGTTTTATGTTGACTTCCTTGACACAAGACCACAAACACTTAGATTATGATGTTATATATGCATACATTAAGCTTTTGGTGGAGAAAAATGCAAGGATGACAGTTTCAATGATAGTAGATTAATTCAAAATACATTTGGTTATATTTCGTCTTACTACAAGACGTGGATGGCGAAAAATAAAGCTATGACACTTTTGTACGGTGTTTGGTATCAATCATACAATGAGCTTCCACATTTATTTTACGCAATGTAATTCTTCCTTATAGGAACCATTGTTCTCTCTTATACTTATCCTACGACCATGTTTGATGAACATGTTATCCCAGGGGAGAGAGTTTTCAGAAGCTTGTTATGAGCTTTGAAGTCATCCATTAAAGGTTTTCGTTACTGCAAACAAATGGTTTAAGTGGATGGTACATTTTTATGTATGGCGTATACAAACACATCCTGATGATAGTTGTTGCACAAGATGGTGACAAAAACATTGTCCCTATTACATTTTCCATTGTTAAAAATGAGTTAGAAGAAAGATGAAATTTTTTCATATCAAACTTGTGCTCCCATGTTGTCACTCAAGATGAGGTTTGTATGATTTCTGACCGTTCACTTGTGTTGTTGGCCACGATTGATAGATCAAAAAGTAGGTAGTCGCCTCCCCATACATTCCCAGCGTATTGCATCTGTCATATTGCATCAAATGTTTTGATGAAGTTTAAGAATAAGAACATCAACAAAGAGATTATGAACATGGGTAACTTATTCTTTTTTCCTCTTCATTTATGTTCTTCATTTAAATCTAACGTTTTTTAGGATACACTTTACTTCAACCGAACTTCCGGGGAAGGATGGAAAATATGAGGAAATATGGACAAGAGGTTTATAACTTTGCTGCTGAAATACCTCAAGAAAGATAGTCACAGGCATATGATGATCAAGGTCGACGTTACGGTCATATGACAACCAATCTTGTCAAATGTATCAATTCAGTACTTAAAGGGACTAGACATCTTCCGGTGGCAGGTATTGTTCGAGAGAATTACTTCAGATTAGGTAAACTAAGGGTAGACAAATTTTCCCAAGTGGAGGCAATGATCAACGAAGGTAGAAATTGGGCTCAAGATTTGGAGAAAGCAATGAACAAAAATCAAACACATGCAACATCAACGTGCTTCATAATTTCGCCAGACTCGATTTTAATTATATTGTCCAAGCACTTGTTCAACCGCTTCAGATACCTATACGCTCATGTGGTTGCTGCATGTATGCATGTCAATGTAGACCCTTACTCATACATTGATGATTGTTATAGCTTGCCTACTATGCGCAACATATATATAGTTTTGAATTTAAGGAAGTTAAAGGGTTGTCTTGAATCTTGTTGAATTCATTCTGATATGGATGATCTGCAATGAGAGCAAGGTCTACCAAAGCTTTGTGG